TTTTCCGAGGCTTCGCACTAGGTCTCAAGAACTGAAGCATCCCGTTCACAAAGAGAGCCTCCTTGACACCGTCACCTATCGCAAAATACTCTGCTTCAGAAGTTGACAGTGAGACACATTTCTGCGTCCAAGAAAACCAAGACACAAGACAGCCAGCTACAAGAACTAATGCTCCAGAAACTGATCTACGGTCAGTGGCCTTGCTGGCAAAGTCAGCGTCTACGTACACTAACGTGCCTACGTCTACCGTAGTGTCCTGCTTGTACTTCAGAGTTAGATGTGCCGTTTCCTTAAGATAACTCAAAATCTTCTGGGCTGCCTTCCAGTCACTCTTCTTGGGCTCGTGAGAGTGTCTTGCCACCGTCCGCACAGCGTTCGAAGTTTCTGGCCTCGTATTGTTGGCGATCCACATCATCAGGCATCCCACCACTTCCCTGAACGGCACATCTCCTGCCTCCTCATCCTCCATCACGGACCTGCTATCGTTGGCAGGGGAAGCGGGGATCGAGCTGGTGCGACAAATATTGAATCTCTCTAGAACACTCCTGATGTAACTCTCTTGAGAAATCTCAGTCGTGCCAGCCTCGCTGTCGCGACTAAATGCGCAACCAAGAAAGAATCTGACTTCTCCCAAATTCTTCGTAGGAAGAGAGTCACCTAGTGCCTCTACAATCACCTCGGCAAGCCCCTTCGTTCCTGCATACAGAATGTCATCCACATGAATCGCGATTACACCCATCACCTCGCCTCCAATTTCGACTGAACAAAGGCTTCCTCAATATCTAAGTGGAGTAACTCCATGTTATACTTGCACGCAAATGCTACTACCAATCGAATCGATGCAGCATTTGCAGTAGGCGAGAAAGTCTCAAGATAGTCCACCCCATGCTTCTGCTTGAAGCCCTTCGCTACAAGCCTAGCCTTGGCCTTTACTATCTTTCCTGTTTCGTCTGCTTTCCATTTGAAAACCCATCTAGCATCAATCACGTTACAACCTTCTGGGAGTTTTGCTGCTAGNGCCTAGCCTTGGCCTTTACTATCTTTCCTGTTTCGTCTGCTTTCCATTTGAAAACCCATCTAGCATCAATCACGTTACAACCTTCTGGGATTTTTGCTGCTAACGTGAACGTTCCTGCTCGTATCAAGCCTTCAACTTCTGCAGACATGGCTTTATCCCAAATCGTGGCATGCTTCGATCGCAGAGCTTCTTGATAGCTACCAGGCTCTGGCTCTACGTCCTGAATGGGCTCTTTCGGCAATTCTACTGCATCACCTGCTCTCTGCGCCGCTATGAGTGCATGTACTATCTCTGATGCTGAGATGGGTCCTAGAGTAGCCACAAGGCCGGATACGCTCTGCTGATTTATCGCACGGGTTTGCGCACGAGTTCTACCAGCTCGGACCTCATCACTCTCACGCGCAGCAGTACTAAAATCAGCAAAGTCAACGACATGCTGCGGACGGCGAGCGGCTGGAGGAGATGCCTCCACCTCTACTTCCTGCCCTCCCGGCCCCGCCGACTCTGTATCCTGCCCTCCCTGATCCATAGACTCTTCTTCATGCCCTCCCGGATCCTCCGACTCTACTTCATCATGCTCTCCCGGATCTTCGGACTCTACTTCCCCCGTTTCCTGCCCTCCCTGCTCCTCCCCATCAGTGGACTGAGAAGATATGGAGGGAATTGATCTACTAGGGGAGGTTGGGAGGACCGCTGCACTATTTCGCAAAAGTGTGTGGGCAACTCCTCTTCCTACAAGTGGCCATACCTCAGCTTCTACATCGTCGTCACTTTCCTCCCCTTCCTCCTCTGCGACCTCTATCGGCAGCGGAGGTTGCGGTGGAGGGAGCTGTGACGGCAACGCTTCCAACGTTACGTTCCTCGTTTCCTGAATAGTCCCAGCTCTGGTGAGTGCTCTATGACAATCACGTGGGTGGTCTCTCGGACCAACATAAAAGCAACTCTCACCCTTCGGTAGCAGCTTAGACGGTCGCTGGCATTTACAANCAAACAGAACTTTCGCCTGAATACGAGCCGCCATTGCGGCCTCTTCTATCAATCCCAAACCACGTTCCGCAACACCATTGAATTCGGGACTGTGAGCCGGGGTGAACTCTTGTTTAATCAAGAGCTCATTGCACACAGATGCAAATTCTCCACCGAAACATTCCCCTCCATTGTCAGATCTAACAATCTCAATCAATGATGGGATCCCATCAGCACGCACATTCGCAAGAAAACTTCGGAAAGCACTGCCAGCGTCTGATTTACTTCTTAGGAAATACATCCATGCACGCCTTGTGAAGTCATCCTTCAAAATCATGGGGTAATGTTTGCCCCCTATTTACGCAACGCTCTTCTTCCCTCCCAGGTCAACAAAAACTCTGCCTAACTTTTTGTCTGATCTATTT